TGTTTACCGTAATAGATACATCGGGATTATCAAGCCCTACACTATTCCTATTCCCAAGTACTCGACCCTCACAGGGTTCGGTTTTTCTTATTCCTATTGTCCAACTCGCACCGGATTTCTAGTACCTTGTACCTCATGTTTTAATATTCATAGAACTATCTTTCTCATAACCCACATGGTTACCAATTACTCGATCGGTTTTGTTCTGTTTAGACGACATTATCTTTCATTATTTGTTTTATCGTTTTAGGTTAAATTAATTCCTCAATCTAATACCTTGGACATTCCTTACGCTACTTTCGACCTAACATTATTTTTTTCCTCGATTGGGCCTACTTAGGCCATGTTGGCTTAGCTAATCCATTTTATACCAAATTATGTTATTGGGCATTCGATTTTACCTTTAACGGGCGTTGGGCCAATTGTGGCCCTACGGTTAAGGTTTATGGCTTTTTGGAAATTTAATTCTTTCAATTCAAAATTTATTCCCTATGAGGCCTAGTTGGCCTATTAGTCTTTAAATAAATCTTATTAGGCTCAAAAGTCCTTATTTTCTTAAACGGCCCAAAAACTGGTTTAAAGTTTTTCCTTCTCAATTTCTTTGATTTTCTTGTGATTTCTTCCCATCTTACCAAATTAATTTACACATCCATTAGATTATGATTGGATTTTAGTCCTTAAGTTCCATGGAAAGCCTAATCTTTCTAGTTTAGGTTCCTTGGCCAAATATGTTCAAAAGGGAGTTTAAATGCTTGCTTGATTCTCTCCTTAATTTATTCATTCCCACACTTAGTCCTAGTCCTTAAATTATGGTCCAAATTCATGAACACATGGTAAGATATATCCATGATTATGGTGTCTTTAAGGATCACACAAATGGCTTACAAAAATCCAAACCAAGTCATTCAAACCAACCAACACAAATCAAGCATAACAATTTAAACAATAACCAAAACAAGTAAATAAATTAAGCACACAAAGAAAATGAGTTAAAGCATGAATTAACCCACTTACATTGAGTTAAGCTTTTCCCTTTTTCTTTTCCTTTTTCTCTCTTTTCCTTCTCTCCTTTCCTTTCTTTCTCTTTTTTTCCCTTTCTCTCCTCACGGTTTTACCTTTCTTTTTTTTCTTTTGGTGGCTTACGAGATGGGCTCTAAAATTGATCTAAATCATTTCATCTTTTCAATTCTCTCTTATTTATATAGTTTCCTCCTTCCTTCTAGAATGGGTTATAAATGGCAAAGCTTAATTGGCCAAAAATGTAAAGTGAAAGGATGACTAAGGAGATAGGTGGCGATTTAGAGAGGAAAAATGGGGTGACTTGGCTAAAATGGTTTTAATGCATGGCTTAGGTGTCCAACTTAGTCCGAATCATTTCATTAGCTTAAATAAGTCCTTGGCTAACTTGCTTTCATATGGCTAACTCATTTCATTGGAATTTCTATTTTGGAATTTTCGAATTCTTCTCTCGAAATTCAAGCAGAATGCATTTCAAAACAACCCTCACCCTAATGGACATAACTCTTATTGTATAAGTTCAAAAATTATAAAATTTTATAGTGGGCTAGTCAATACATATATGAACAACTTTTATTCTTTAAGGTGCACCCAAAAATCTCCTTAAAGGCCTTTAATAAATCTCATAAGATTCGGGCATAATCTAGCTCTAAATTTTGAAAAATTTTCTTTTAATCAATTCAAAATTTTTTCCAAATTAAATCTCAATTTTCTTAAAATTTTAAAATACATTTCTTATCATTATGCTACATCCGAAATACTTAGAAACACCCCAAAGGATAATTACCTAAATTTTTTGAAATTTTTCCTCCCATTATTTCGACGTAATCGTCGAATATACCATTATTGTAAAGTCTCTTTTGAACCCATTCATACTATTGCTTTTAAAAATGTGTATAAATTTCATGGGAGTTACAGCTTGAAAGGATTTTTAGAGGGTTTTCCGTGGTTTAAGTTATAGTCGTCATGGGTGATGAGTGGGAGGTTGTTTTAGGTGGTTGAAGGTTATGGTTTTTTAAGGAGATGAGTGGAGAGGACTTTTCCTCTCTCTAGGTTTCTACTTATTTTGGAAAAGATGAATGAAATGGCCTTTTCCCCTTTGTGAGAGAAAGTCATGCTTTTATAGTAAAGGTTAGTTAGGGTTTTGAGTATTTTTACATTGGCTCCATCTTTTTCCTCTTTTCCCATATCTTACACTTTTCTTGTTCTTTCTTTCTTTTTGCTTTATATTTTCAATTGGTAAGTTTTTTTAATTGAACCCCTAACTCAATTATTCTTTATCTAATTTTTCATATTCAATCAATTTAATTCAAAATTCCTAGCTTCCAACTTATTTTCTTCTCTCTTTTTCATCTCTTTATTTTTCTTCTTTTTGTAATTTTTTTTTAAAAAAGATCTCAAAAATCATGGGACTCCTAAAAATCCTAATCCTAGGATAAAAAATTGCACAATCAAGCAAACTAAACAAAGCATATTAAATTTTCACATTTTTTTTTAAATGTGTCAAACAAAAGGGTTAAAGATTAGGTGATAACATTTCATTATGCTTTTCAAATCAACATGGTCTTTCATGTAAAGTTTTACAAATCAACATTGTCTTTCATATCACATTTTTCAAACCAACATGGTCTTTCATGTAAAGTTTTACAAATCAACATTGTCTTTCATATCACATTTTTCAAACCAACATGGTCTTTCATGTAACGTTTTCTAAATCAGCATGGTCTTTTGTATCATATTTTTAAAATCAAAGTGATCATTTATGTTACGTTTTTAAAACCAAAATGATCTTTCATGTCTTTGTCGTTCTTCAAATTAACGTAGTTTTTCATGTCATGTTTTTCAAATTAATCGTGATCTTTCATGTCATGAATTTCAAATCTAAATGGTCTTTCAAGTCATGTTTCTTTCAAATTAATCATAGTCTTTCATGTTAGATATTCTATTTAATTGTGATCTTTCATGTCACATATTTTTGCTCAATTTTCTTAATCAATTTGTGCATTTTATTTTATTTTTGATATTTGTGAAAGAGGGCTTTGAGACCCATTTGATAGTTTAATTGGATTTCATCCTATTTTTAATTTTCTTTTGAATTTTAATAATATTTTTTTATTTTAAAGTGAGGAAACAAGTTTTTGACTAGCTTAATTTTGAAATCACTTGACTAATCGATTTCAATCTAAAGAAAAAGATACTCGGATAGGCATATACTAACAACATAGTAAGACTAAACATTGACATTTAACGTGCATGCGATGCAACCTATTTCATATAGCACGTGATTTTTAGTGCTTTTGATCTTTCTTATCCATAACAAACCTTTTACATAAGATCATGTGTAGACAAGGTATTTGGATTTCCTAGTTCTCTAATATTAGGTGGAAATTCTTTTCTTGTTTCTATATTTTCTCAAAGCATTCGTCGGACCCCGACATCGTGCCCACGATAATTTTGATAATAAAAAATAATAAAAAAAGATCATGTGACATTTTTATATGGTTTGACCAAAAAAATTTACTAAACGATAAATTAAAAATTTACTTAAATAACATGGATATAATTGACTCGAGTTTAAGATATAAGAACAAATTGGAAACTCATCTCATTATATAAGAATAGATCATGCCATTAACCCTAACTTATATATTAAAAAGAGCAAGTATAGTGTCACTAAATTATAGAAAATGATAATTAACAAAAATGATAACGTTAATGTTAGTGAATCCCCCTCCTCTCGGTTAAATTTTTTCTTGGTCAAATTTGAGTAACATTTTATCTTCGTAAAGTTTTCAAATGATAAAAGATAACTATTCAAGTGGAGAAACATCAAACTTTTGGATACTTCTTAATGCTTGCAATATTTCAAAAGCTTAATCAACTTGAGAAAGCCGGAAGAGCAAAATTGGATTGGAACTGGAGTAATATTATTTTCCTTTTTGAACACACTTTATGTGTAAGTATAAGTAACTATTTGATTTTCGAGTTTTCCTGAAAATTAAGGTAGTTTTACATCTTAAAAATCTCTAAAAAGAGTACCTTAAACTCAGTCACACCTTATTTACATTTTGTGATCTTACTAGTAAAACAAACCTTTCCGATTTTAAAAAGCTTAATTAGTTTGGAAGGCAAATAAAGTACTCATACTCACCCAAAAGGATTGGCTTGAAAAAAAAAAAAAACTCTAATCTTTTAAACAAGTAGCCTCGTATTTTAATATTTTCATATGTAAAAAAACTTTTTAGATAGATGTACTTATTTTATGCACTCAATTGAATAAAGAATGATTAATCTGATTTTTTAGACTTGAAATACTCGAAAGATTCAAGAAAAAAATATTAACATTTAAGTACTCATGTATTTATTTATTTATTTTTATTTTTCCTAAGAAAAACTCCAAATCTACTAGGAATAGTTTCTTTGTTTCCACGACAACAAATTAACTTGCATGAGTGGACCCAGTTAAGTTAAGTTAGGTTAGATCTCTTCTGGCTCTGAAGTGTTGAAAAACTAGGGCATGTGTTATGTACGGTTAATGTGAACGAGTGTGACTCTTAACATACTTGAGTCAGTCAGATCTATCATCCGCCTTTTGAATAGGAATTCAAAAATTTACTGGGTCGATCAATCTAATCCCCTTAGCTCAGATATGTATGAATATTTATTTAATTAATAAATCAAATCATAGTCACACATGTTCAACAAGTATTGAAACCATATTCATCTCATCTCAAACAGTTCTTCGAATTAGATCTACTACATATCTTTCCTTCTTCTTCTTCTTCACGTACGAATTTGCTTTTGGGTGGCTATATATGACAATGATAATAAAAGGAGGTGGCACAAACCAAGCCTGTGCAGCTTGCAAATACCAAAGAAGAAGATGCTCGGAAGGATGTCCTTTAGCGCCTCATTTCCCTGCCAATGAATCCAAAACGTTTCAAAATGCGCATCGTTTATTTGGTGTGAGTAATATTCAGAAGATGCTTAGGCACTTACGTGATGACCAAAAAGAGGAAGCTATGAGATCTGTTAAATACCAATCTAACATGCGTGCTCGCTTTCCTGTTCATGGCTGTTTGGAGATCATATGGCAACTAAACTATCACTTGCGCCAAACCATAGAAGAACTTCACTATGTGAATGCGCAGCTTGCCATTTTTTATGATCATAAGTCGCCTAATTATTCAGAATTTTCAGTAGCTGAATGCGATTATGATCAACACCATCTGGGCATTAATTCAATGCCTCAGTCAGATCAATTTTTACAAGAGCATCCTATTCAGCAGCAGGAGGAGATGCAAATTTCTATTTATGATTGCGACAACATGATATTTGATACAATTGCTGATGACAAACAATCAAGAAGACAAGATTCCAAGCCGAGGTATGCTCTATCTTCTAGAACAACTTAACCCAACATATATATATATATATATATATATATATATATATATATATATATATATATATATATATATATATATATATAATGTTTAATTCGTTTCTGATTACTTCGTTAATGTTAAAAAAACAAATACAAAACAATATTTATGCAGTGCAGTAATGTTGTCAGCGGGGGATACAATGCAAATGCATTCTACTAAATTACGTCTGGGTCAAAACGAACTCAAGAATGTTGCTAGCTGCACGCATCAGCCGCTTAAATGTGCAGGAAAACGATAAGATCAATACTAGCAAAGTGGTTCCCATTTGAAATTTTCTATTCTTTTTATTCAGATTTTCGAATATTAGTCAGAATTTTGGTTTAATTTTCCGAATGACATTCAGAAACAATAAGATTATTTTTGTCTTTTTTTAAGTGGAATGGAATCACCTTTCATTTTCTTAACTTAAGCAATAGAGCTTGAGTTGAGTTGCTTTCCCCAAATACTTATTTTGGAACTTTTAGAAAACTATAAAAGGTAGAAAAGCAGAGGGTAAAACAAACTCTCTACCTCTCGCTCTTGTTTGGAGACCTAAGAGTTGTCCTCTAACATTAGAGATTTGTAAAATTTGCTTAGTTGGGATCAATAGTTAACTCTCGTTAAACTACTTCGTTAATTGAATATGATATTGAAAAATAATTTTCATGTAATTAAGATAAAAAAAACACACGCATACGGTGAATGATGTCAACAGTAAATAATGTCTAGGACTTGCATGTGGATATGTATATATCCAACCTAAGCTTTAAGTTGCTTAAGTATGAGGTGTGCTAATCTTATGAAGTGTCAATCCTCTTTAGTTATTAAATCGTGAGAAATAGCCACCTATATCGTAAAATTATGATACATTCTAATCTTGTGAATTTGTCAATCCTCTCTATTTATTAAATCTCTAATTGTGAGACCTAGTCACCTTTGTCTTAAAATTCAATCCCTAATCTCTTTTGCAAAATAACTAAAATTCCTTTCAAAATCAAGTTTTAATTTAATTAATACAACATTAGAATAATTGCTTTGCTTTTATGGGTTTTTGATTATTATAACTCAGTTCACATGACATCCTTAATATGGTATATGGGTTTAATTTTTATTTTATGTAGAAATTGTTTTTGTCATTCTCAATTAATGAAGAAATTTGATAGCAATTAAACACAATATAGACAATTTTACAAATACAAACAAATTATTAATACAAGAATAATTTTAAATAATTAAAACAAGCACATACGTAAAATGATAGATTAAGCCCTATGGGAATACATGTAACCATTTTTCAACTCAATCCAACTCTATCAACCTGTTACTCAGTCCAGGAAACCTGGTAACAGAGCAAACATGCTGGCCTTTGGATGACGATGATGTTTCATCCAAATGCAAAAGTCTCACCGTTAACAACATTTCATTGATGCAAAGTCCAGAATTATGTTCGTTACTCGTTGGCAAAAAAATAAAATAAATAAATTACATTTTTGCAACTTGATAGGTGAATCCAGTTGACACTCTCCATATGAATATTAATTTCAAAATCAAAGTAAATTCAAAGGGTATTGTTCATGTTTAAATTTGACCTTGATATTTTGGCCTTTTTAATTTTCCCCGCTTCTAGTTATTATATTATTAAGCTGACAAAATGGAACCCCAATAATCACTGCTTGCTTGTTGTCATATATATCTTATTGTTTTTGCAGCACAACTTGATTCATACTTTCTTGCAATCCCATTTGTTAATGTTTTTGAGCATCCAATTAAAGTCAACCAGGCCTATATATTGTGATTAATCTAGTCCCTCCGTACTTTTGGACGTTCTCAAATGTCAAGTGTCTACTAGAAGAAGCAGACAAATATCTTTGTTTTATAATTCAGTGTGAAAGGATTTGTATTGGATGGTTGGTTTTTCAACGAATTGTAAGAACCCAGAATTCCTTTTTGGTAGTTTTCTATTTGTTTAATTGGTTCCATTTGAATATCGTGCTGGCATATGTAGTAGTTATTTCAACTCTTTGTTGGTGAAATCCAGGAGGATAGTGGATAATGTTTGCACGTTGTTGATGTGATTTTTTTTTTTTTTTTGTTAATTCTCTTTGCTCTGAGAGATGGATGGTATTCTTGCCATTATCTTCATCTTCTGTAACATTCTGCTGCTCACTCATTATGGTTCTTCATATCCGTTATGTACTAATTTAGGTGAGCATCCCTTTGTGTATTGTCTAGTCTTCCGTTTTGTTTTTTTTTTTTTTTTTTCCTTCCTTTTACTTGTGAATTCCAGTGATTTTTCTTTGATATTGATTATTTTTGCTGTTCTTTAATTTGGGTCTTTTCTTTTGCTTAATTAGGGTCTCCTTTTACGCTGAAATCATCACTTTCTTTCTGTAAATTCAATGGAAGTGTTTGCTGTAACTCCACTGAAGATGTTGGGTTGCAGAAACAATTCAAATCGATGAATGTCTCAGCTTATGGCTGTGCTGCTCTTATGAAATCAGTACTCTGCTCAGTAAGTGTGTCTACCTAGTAATTGTTACGTTTGCATCTTTGTGAATACATTTTTTTCAAAAAAAAAAAAAAAGAAAGAAAGAAACATCTTTGTTCATACTTGATACCTAATTGTTTTTTTTGTTCAATGAATGTACTACAAGCTTGTTAGACTTCTAATTAATTCATCCATTAACATTCTTTGAAAACTGCAACATATAGAGATATCAAAGTGCAAGATTTTTTATTATTGGAACTTTTGTTGAAACTTGTAGTGTTGCCATGCCATTTATCAGCCCGGGCTCACTAAGCTTTTAAGTTTTAGATATAAGATTAGAAAAGGCCTAAGAAAGAAATCAAACATGTTGATTCTTTCCCAATTAACCCGCCTGTAGCTGATTTCAGGAAATATTTGAACTGCATTACATGTTTTGAATCATTGAATTTGGCAGAGATGTGATCCATTTTCAGCCGAGCTTTATAGGATCGCAACGGCTCCTCGAGTACTTCCTGTCCTTTGCAATTCCACGGTTTTGGTAAACTCAACCGAATCACAACTTGCTGCAACGACAGACTTTTGCTCAAAAGTCTGGGATGGATGCCATAATGTATCCATATCAAATTCTCCTTTTGCGTCAGATAAAGGTGGAACTGTGGTTAATTCTTCTTCCAAACTGACTGATTTATGGGAGTCAAAGAGTGCTTTCTGTAATGAATTTGGAGGAGCTTCTGATGATGGCTCGGTATGTTTCGATGGAGGACCAGTTTCACTAAACAGTTCTGAAAGTCCAACTCTCCCTAACGGTATCTGCCTTGAGAAGATTGCCAACGGATCCTACCTTAATATGGTAGCTCATCCTGACGGTTCAAACCGTGTCTTCTTAGCTGACCAACCGGGTAAGATTTGGTTGGCGACCGTTCCTGCTGAGGGATCAGGAGAAACGCTAGGAATTGATGAATCAAATCCTTTTCTCGATTTGACCGACGAAGTATATTATGATACTGAATTGGGGATGATGGGAATAGCATTCCATCCAAATTTTCAAAAACATGGGCGCTTCTTTGCTTCGTTTAACTGTGATAAGGTAAAATGGCCAGAATGTTCAGGGAGATGTTCATGTAACTCTGATATGGGATGTGATCCTTCAACGCTTCCCTCTGAGAATGGAGCACAGCCTTGCCAGTATCACAGCATCATAGCAGAGTTCAGTGCTAATGGTACCACATCGCAACCTTACTTGGTAAAAGTCTGAAAGGTTTTTTTTTTTTTTTTTTTTTTTTCCGGCTATCACTTAGTACAGTTCATATAATTACTTTGACCTCAATTGCAGGTAACAAGAGTGCAACCACAGGAAGTCAGAAGAATATTTACCATGGGTCTTCCATTTGCTGCCCATCATGGTGGTCAGATACTTTTTGGACCTGAAGATGGATATTTATACTTTATGATGGGAGATGGTGGAAGCAGAGGTGATCCTTACAATTTCTCACAAAACAAGAAATCATTGCTCGGAAAAATTCTGAGGCTCGACATAGATAACATTCCAAGTGAGTATTGGGGTTATAGCCCATAATAGTTTACAAAGCAATATCGGCTTCCACACTTCTGGATGATTACATCATTTTGTATCTGGTATCCTTAAAAAGAAGATGTTTGTTTAGTTAAAATTTAGCATTGTCAGTTCAATGGCATAGAGGTCTTAAACTGCTCAAAGATAATGCCAAATAGAGATGAAAAGAAATGGGTTGATTTCTTTCAATGTGCAAACAAATGATCAATTTCACTAATCAGTACAGTTTTTGTGTCAGAGCTAGATTTTCTGATGAAAGGGTGCATGAACTTGACAAAACTGGTTTTATGTTAGCTTTTGTTGCAGAGTAAGTTGAAAGTTCGAGTTGTCTTATAGAGGGGTCCCTGCGGACATGGAGAACTTTAGGTTGAATTTTCTGTAAGTGGAAAACTTCATCCACTAGTTTGTTGAGTAAAGTTAGGAAGTTGTTTAACCTTTGGGAACCCCAAAACCACTTAGCATTTTACTAGAAGAGCTCAGAACTGTCATTCATGGTTTAATTTATCTTCAGTCCTTTCTTAGTTACAGAACTTCTATTCCTGATTCTTGTGGAAACCTTTTTGTAAAACGATTTAAGGCTTCCGAATGGAGACATGTTAATGATCACGGAGATATGTCTCTTAATGATCCATTGGGTTTCTGAGGTGATTTGAGGGTAAAAACAATAGACTTACGAAAATACTTGAGATCCCTACATTTTCAGCTCTTTAATAAATCTGTTGTCTTCGATGCAATTTGAACTTTGTGCGAGTTTATTGGATGAAAGTGATTTCTCCTTCCATGAAAATTTTGGTTTCTCATAATATTTTTCTTCCTACATGTTTGATTCTCATCGTATGGCCAGGGACAAATTCTCTGAGCTACTGGTTGTACATCTTTTTACTGTCGTAATCATTAGATGAATCGCATTTTGTCATTTTGGTTGCCTTTCCACCACCTATTTTATTTTATTAAGCTACCATTGCATCATCATCTCAGTTCTGTAACTTTGTAGGTGCTCAAATGATTACTGACCTAGGCCTGTGGGGAAATTACTCTGTCCCTGGAGATAATCCATTTTCTGAAGATAAGGGATTGGAGCCAGAAATCTGGGCACTAGGGTTCAGAAATCCTTGGCGATGCAGTTTTCATGCTGAGAGGCCTTCCTACTTTCTCTGCGCAGATGTTGGCCAGGTTAGCCAGGCCTCCTCTCAGCTAGCTCGTATACATTTGTTGTACCTGTAAGACTTCTAATAGTTGATAAAGTTGCTAACTGGAAACTTGTCTTCCATTTTTTTTTTTTTTTAATCTCACATAATGGTTCAACATTGCAAGCTTTCCTGATTTGTTTGTGTGTGTGTATATATATATATATATATGTTCCTGACATTACTAATGCAAGGGGAAGGTTCTTACAGGACCAATATGAAGAGGTGGATATCATCACTAAGGCTGGTAACTATGGATGGCGTGTTTATGAGGGTCCATTTCTGTACGATCCCCCATCTTCTCCAGGGGGAATACATCTGTGAGTTCCATAAATCCAATTTTTCCTGTAATGGGATACAACCACTCTGAAGTAAACAATGGCGAAGGATCTGCATCAATTACAGGTGGCTATTTCTATCGATCTATGACTGATCCATGTATGTCTGGAAGGTGGGTATACCTGATTGTGCTTATTTTAATTTGATGAAACAGCAGAACTTCCAGTTTATGACATGCTTTTGTAAACTTTGATTAGTTGTAAAACCCTTTTGTTTGTCCGTCAAGATTCAAGAGATAGGAAATAATGAATTGCTAGTCGTCTGTTTTGTATCTTGCAAACTCACTTAGCCTATAAGTGCAACAATGAGTTAGGTTTATTGTCCTTACTTCCTATAAAGAATTCCTTATTGCATATAGATCCATTAGTCGATCCTTTTATCTGATTCAATCTCTCCATAATCCTCAATATTAGTGCATAATATATGCGTTGTCTGTAGACACCCTAGTTTTCTTTTGCATAAAATTCAAAATGTGGGAATTGATTCAAGTTAATGAGCTTCTTTTTTTTTTTTTTACTAAGAAATCATGGTTGGTTTCAGATACCTGTATTCGGATTTGTATGCTGGAGCAATATGGGTTGGAACAGAGAACCCCAAAGACGGTGGGAACTTCACTAGTACGAAGCTTCCCGTTAGTTGTGCTGGTAACACTCCTATCCCATGCACGACCGTAGGAGGGAGCAATTTCCCTGCATTGGGATTCGTGTTCTCGTTTGGTCAGGATAACAGGAAAGACATGTTTATTTTAGCCAGCAGTGGGGTGTACAGAATAGCTCGTCCTAGCCGCTGCAATTACATTTGCTCAAAGGAAAATGTCACAGCTCCTGCTCCCTCCTCTCCTTCCCCTTCTCATTCAGCTGCGAAACGATTCAGCAATCAGCTGCGAAACGAAAGACATGTTTATTTTAGCCAGCAGTGGGGTGTACAGAATAGCTCGTCCTAGCCGCTGCAATTACATTTGCTCAAAGGAAAATGTCACAGCTCCTGCTCCCTCCTCTCCTTCCCCTTCTCATTCAGCTGCGAAACGATTCAGCAAACAGCTGCTATTTCTTTTTTCTGCTTCGTTCCTATTATTGAACTCTCAACATATATAATAAACAAATTAGACATGCTTCATTTATATATAATTACATGATCACGCATGAGCATGACCTGACATTATTGTAAATATATATATATATATATATATATATATATATATATAATTGGTAAATTCCTATTCAAATTTTCTGGCGATGGATAAAACCATGTGTTATGTAGCTCAGCCAGCAATCAGAATTGAGAGGGTACAGTTCCATATATAACCATTTTTTAAAATTTTTTCTTTCACTTTCCTTAGCCTAAAGAGAGAAAGATACGTAATCGTTGCAAGTCTAAATTCAAATAACCAAAGCTAAAATTCATCAAAATCAGATGGTGTCCGGAACAAAAGCTCTTGCTGATTAGTGATGCAACAAGGAAATGGGTGTTATAGGATTAATTATTAAGAAAATAGTATGTAATAATCAATGGAGTATATTGTTATTTAATTTGAATCCAGTTATATTTTAATCCTCATATTTGAAATCAAATATAACTTAGTCCATTGATTCCCGTTAACCATCATGTCATTAAAATCTAAAACATTATTGGTTTTACTTATGCTCTAAAAAAAAAAAAAAAAAAATTCAAAATACCCATTAGCAAATTAAATTCTTAGAGAAAAACCAACATAGTAAGGCTTTAGAGAAAATCATTTTTCATAAGACAATAGTGAAGTAAAGGGATTATGTTATATGTTCTTAAACAAGAAGGATTACGTTATTATTACTTTCAACATATAGGGACTAAAGGATAATTTATTGAGATGGTAACTAATTTATCTAACTAGAAACTGAACCCAAAGTTGATTGCTTAAAATAATAATAATAAGAAGAAGAAGCTCAAAACAAATGTCTTCCCTCTCATTCCCTGTTGCTACTTCCAGTTCCATGCAAGTAAACCCCATCCCATCTTCCGTCATTTTCCTCCCACTATTATCTCTAATCAATACCCACATTTACACCACCACCTCAAGAAACCCTAGAAAAAGAACCCACGCTCTCCTCCTGTGTGCAAGCAGAAAAGATATTTGGACGAGAAACACAACAACAGTAGGACCTTACCGTAGAAAACAAAGAGAAGAACCGGTTTTTTTAGACCACAGTGTAGACATGACCGAACTATTAACCGCAATTAGCCAAACCCAAAACGAGCAACAATTATTCGCTTTGTTATCACCTTACAAAGACAGGCAACTATCAATTCGTTTCATGGTTTCAATTCTCTCTCGCGAATCTGACTGGCAAAGATCTCTTGCCCTTCTTGATTGGATTAATGACGTTGCACAGTATTCTCCTTCTGTGTTTGCATACAATGTTGTTTTGCGTAATGTATTAAGGGCTAAGCAATGGGACCATGCACATGGCCTGTTTGACGAAATGCGCAACCGAGCTCTTGCACCTGATAGATATACGTATTCGACTTTGATAACCCATTTTGGGAAGTCCGGTATGTTTGATTCTTCCCTTTTTTGGCTTCAACAAATGGAACAAGACCGCGTTTCAGGTGATCTTGTTTTGTATAGTAATTTGATTGAGCTTTCCAGGAAGTTGTGTGATTATTCTAAGGCTATTTCGATATTTATGAGGCTGAAAAAGAGTGGGATTACGCCGGATTTAGTTGCATATAATTCGATGATTAATGTATTTGGGAAAGCTAAGTTGTTTAGAGAGGCAAAGTTGTTGATGAAAGAGATGAGGGATGTTGGGGTTATGCCTGATACGGTTAGTTATTCGACGCTGTTGAGTGTTTATGTTGAGAATGAGAAGTTCGTTGAGGCCTTATCTGTTTTCTCAGAGATGAATGAGGCTAAGTGCCCACTTGATCTCACTACTTGTAATGTTATGATTGATGTTTATGGGCAGCTTGGTATGGCTAAGGAAGCGGATAGGTTGTTTTGGAGCATGAGGAAGATGGGAATTGAACCAAATGTTGTTAGTTATAACACCCTCTTGAGGGTTTATGGAGAGGCCGAGCTTTTTGGTGAAGCTATTCATTTGTTTAGGTTGATGCAGAAGAAGGATATTGAGCAGACTGTTGTCACTTATAATACAATGATTAAGATTTATGGGAAATCACTTGAGCATGAAAAGGCCACAAATCTTTTGCAGGAAATGCAGGGTAGAGGAATTGAACCAAATGCGATTACATACTCAACGATCATTTCTATTTGGGGTAAGGCAGGGAAATTGGATAGGGCAGCAATGTTGTTTCAAAAGTTGAGAAGTTCTGGGGTTGAGATCGATCAAGTCCTTTATCAGACGATGATTGTGGCTTATGAACGCGCAGGTTTGGTTGCTCATTCTAAGCGTCTGCTTCACGAACTCAAACGCCCAGACAATATCCCTAGGGAGACTGCTATTAAAATTCTTGCTAGAGCTGGTAGGATAGAAGAGGCCACATGGGTTTTCCGTCAGGCTTTTGATAGTGGGGAGGTGAAGGATATATCTGTCTTTGCATGCATGGTTGATCTTTTCTCAAGGAACAGAAAGCATGCAAATGTGATAGAGGTATTTGAGAAGATGAGGGGAGCTGGATATTTTCCTGATTCTAATGTGATTGCTCTTGTTCTGAATGCTTATGGGAAGCTGCGGGAATTTGAGAAGGCGGACGCATTGTATAGAGAAATGCGGGAAGAAGGGTGTGTTTTTCCAGATGAAGTTCATTTCCAAATGCTGAGTTTATATGGTGCAAGAAAAGACTTTATGACGATTCAGTCCTTGTTTGAGAGGCTGGATTCTGATCCTAACATTAACAAGAAAGAGTTGCATCTTGTTGTTGCCAGCATTTATGAAAGAACAAATAGATTAAATGATGCATCACGGATCATGAACAGGATGAGTAGAGTAATTTTGAGATCACCATAGTAGAAGTTTGAACCTGCCCTTGGTCTTGTAGATTCTTCCAACTGTTGTAGATTGCCGTTTGCTTTGCTGATCATTTTGTAAATATTCTATGTGGGTCTCTTGCTTTTTTACCTTCTCAGATGTGAAAATGGTAATTGTGCTGAGTTGCTTCCAGATAACCTGTGAACTTAGCTCCCCTTTTTTTTTTTTTTTTTCCCAAGGTGATACATGTATACTTTTCTTATCTTTTTGCCATCATTTTTTAACGTCTATTGCAGACTAGAGGCAGAATCAGGAAGACTTGTTTACATCTGGGTGGAGAAGAAGCAGCTCAAATGGTTACCATTTGTTGGCCTACTGTTACATTTTGACATAGATAGGTAGGCACATCAATTTGAATTCACCATGATTTTGTTGTTCAAGTCGTCTTTACTACCAAATCTAAACATAGAGCTCTAGATGTAAGTGAATCTCTTTTCTATACATTAGAAAGAGTTGGTAAAAAAAATGGTACAAATTTGATCAATTCTTTAGTCCAAATTAAAATAATCGAAAGTAATACCAAACAAAATAACTACACATAATATGAATTTTATCAATTCATAAGCTAATACGTTTGTTGGAATTCATTATGTCCTGTTCTCTATCAACCTCTTATCTCTCTGTGTCCTCTTGTTTGGAATCTCACAACCGTATCCCACAACAAAATGACATTTTATGCAGCTGTCGTGTTTTTTCAGCAATAAGTTTACATTTTCATAATCAGCTTAATAGATTTGTTCAATTTATTGAATAGACTTGAAGGGACAGTCAAGAAAGCAAATGTGTGAATTATGATGTGGAAATAGTCTATCAGGAAGGCATTTGAGTTGGCTCGACTACTATATTTATGGGCATGGACCGCATTGATTTTGTAGGCTCATGCGGTCATTAAACATTATCTTTAATTAAATGAATACAAGTCGCAAAGGGAGAGAGGGATACAATCCAAGTGCCACTTGTACAACTTCGCACAATTCTTTTCCTGGTATATCGCCACTTTGCCTTTCGAAGAAATTCCATTACTCTAGAATTTAATAGGTCAACTTTAATGATGATTTAACCAAACATTCCCTGGAAACTAAGAGTGGGACGACTTTGTTCGTTTTTATTTTCTTTGTTTTTTCAAGTGAAGATGAGTTAGGCACACATCCAACGAATAACCTTCAATTCAGTCAGATTTGAAAGATTTTCTTGGTGACACACAAAATAAAAGTTATTCCCCATCTTTGACTCTCATTCTTAGACAAGGATCATGTTATTATTATTATTATTATTATTTTATGTTTATCATTTAAAGTTATATAAAAATTGTTCTTTTGATTCATCATGTCTCTAACTTTTAAAATCGACTTAGAATTTAGAATTAGATATAATTTAATGCTGCGTAACACCAAACATACTTATATTTTTTGATTTATCCCATAATTAGTCCATGTACAATTTCAATTTTTTTTATTAAAATCTATTGGCATACTTAAATTTTAAAAGCCATGTGTCGATTGAAATTGATATGTATTTACATACTAAAACGTTGCACCTTAATTAGAATGATGCATTAATGAAACGATGCTTTTGGTTTTAAAAAACAATCAATATTAAATAATAGAGATTTAAGAATCTTAAATGAAACGATGCATTTGGTTTCATAAACCAATCAATATTGACGAAATAGAGATTTGAGAATCTTAAATAAAACGATGAGTTTGGTTTTACAAACTAACCAATATCGACGAAATAAAGATTATGTTTAGTTTCACAAACCAACTAATGTCAACGAGATAGAGAGAAAGATAAAACCCGATAACCGTTTGTGCTCAAATTTGAAACTCTAGATAGTTATCGATCAACAATGGTTTAAAAGAAAGAGGAGGAAGACAAACAAGGAGGACAACATCGCGACAAGATTTCTCTCGAAGATTACTTTTATCCTGTTTTCTTTAGAATAGCCTTTACTTTCCTGCAAGTAGATTAATAGTGTTTATCTTGCTTTCTAGTAACTTAGGATTTTCAATTTCAAGTATTATCAAATGGCTTCAACATCATTCAAGACTCGTTGATGTAAGTGTTGTATCTTCTAATTTATAATATTTATATCTCGGTTTGTTTCATCAAATGTTTGTTTCTTCCTATTAGCAACATTCCCCTTTATTTTCATTTTTATCACTCAAATCGAACTACCATGTGAAAGTCCTAGTGGCTTGCAAGGCAGAGCATTGAACCTTTTATTATTTTCTCACGAAATACTTGGTTACAAATTAAAGTGTCAATTTACTCCACATTTAAGACCAAATTCGATGAGTAGCAACAAGTTTTGGTGGCCACGAGTGGAAGAATCAATGTCGAAACATGGTATTACTAGAAGCATGACAAAACATCCAACCTCTAGAGAAGACCAAATCGATGAAACGCCATCGGTTTCGTCAAAGGAATGGTCCAAGTTTTTGAAGGTGTGCCTTTTAAAGAAAAAGAAAATATAGGAAACCACGCCGGTAGACGGACTATGGATAACTAAGAGGGATTATCAAAAAATATGACGGACAAAAGCCATAACAATGACCGAAACAAGTTTGGTATCGAAGTCAAGAACCTATGAACTCGAAGGGAGTGATACCTCTACTAATGAGGGACAAGATGTAGCGACGAAGAACGAAACTTTAGCGTTTGACAAATGTTGTCAAAACAAACCGAAAAACTACTCAACAAAATCTATGATCCAACCATGGACATAGGTACTCAAATAAATTGACACTTACGAGCTAGTGTCAAATCGACTTAAGGAAGACATTAACGGGATGAGGGCTTTTATAGCTGAATCATCACAAAAGAGCATCGATATGGCTAATAACCATACTACCAAAATAATGAAATGTATGTGTTATCATAGCGATAGAGTGATTGTAGATGTGAATCATTTGTTCGATAAAACTATTGGCCCATTGACTAAACAAGTAGCCAAAGAAGTGGAAATTATCATCGAACCAAGATTCAACACAACTACAAGTGCCACTTAATTAATGAAGGAAGATGTTAAATGCCTTGTAGTTTTGACGAAGGAAAAGGAAAAGAGGCGAGTTGAAGATAGACATAGAGCATTGCCCACTAAGACAATAGACATTCCTTTAGGGTACCCATCTACTGTCTCTAACGAGCATTCGACAACAAAAGTGGTTAAGATCCATCACGGAGTCCGTATGGCCAAACTTATGGCTATCCTACTCAACTACCTATATATCCACCCGAGCATCTCCGATCGACCAAGCATGCACCTCTTGTTAGCCAAAATAATGACTATTCTCCTTATGTACCTCTCAATAACCAAAATAATGGATATCCATCGTAAAATAGCTCCCGTTAACCAAGCTAACAATTACCCTACTTCGAGCACAATACTATGGTCCCATTCTAAATGTCCTTCCAAGACCTCATAGTAATTTCCCACCATAGAATGTGCTAAACATGGCCATATCGGTAGAAAACGAGTTCGATGCCATAACTTGGCCCGAGAAGTGCTTATGGGGATATGAATAAGGAAGCATTAGCCAATATGATTGAGAGAATGTATTGGCCTCGTATGCAAAAGGTAAATCAACCCGTTTATAAGAAGCCAATACCGGTTATATCGATCGAGAATATCCTTTCCCAAGAGGATTCAAGGCTCCCGAATTCATATTGTTCTCTAATGAAAATAATGTTTCTACTTTGGAACATTTCACCAATTTAACCTTTAAGCGTAGGGAATTGTTAGGAGATGATTTTCCGAAGCTTTATCTTTTCTCTAGTTCTCCGACTATTCGTTGTTATCACATGGTACATTAATTTGTTACCAAATTTCATCTTCACATGGTGGGATATGCGGAATGCTTTTCAAGAACGAGTTTTCAAAAGCCGATCCTAGGGTTTCGAGTTGCGAATTAGCTAGGTTGAAATAGTTTCGGGGTGAGTTAATAGAATAATTCTTGATAAGGTTTAGGAGTGCTAGAGTTCGATGCTAGGTCAATCTACTTGAAAGTGAATTCTTACGTTTCGCTCGGGATGGTTTGGATTTTGAACTCGGAAAGAAGTTTGAAGGTATGGTCTTCCAAGACCTATACGAGTTGACGAACGAGCTTTCGGATTTGAAGCAATTTTACGAGAAAAATCATTACGAAGAAATACTATGGTCAAAATATATTATCAAGATCTTACCATAATTGATGTCTTTTGTAGAATATATTAAAGGAAAGATAATAGTATGTAAACAATTGACTAGAAAGAATATAAAAGATTTTACGGGCTTCAAGTTTAAAGAAGATTGTAAGTATTCTTTCGATCCGGACAAGGTAGATTTAATCTTTGATTGAATTTTAACCAACAATAGGATTAAAATCAAATGGAAACATAAACTACCTTCTTCCGGAGAAATGAAAAAAAGAAAATTCCGCAAATGGCATAGTACTACATCCCATTCGACTAACAATTGTATCTTATTTAGGAAGTTAATTCAAGACTTGATAGAGTCAAAAGAATTAACTTTTCTTGAAAAAGAAGAAGTTATAGAAGTAGATAACAATCCATTTCCTGAAATTATTGAGGTCCTAACTTTAAATGTTTTTTATATGTCTAAATTATAGGAATTGCTTGCTAATGTGAAGTTACCAAGGTGGTTAACCGATTTTTTAACTAGTCGGTTAAAAAGAGAGCATTAAGATTTTCTCATTTTGAAGATCTAGAGCTTGACCACTACCGCAAGTGGCACATTACCACTCTCCACACCATAAACAAGTGCCACGATTTCATGGATTTCTTGAATAGTCATAGAGATTATGACTGGTATGACTCGACGAATACAAATAAAGTAACTCTAGTTCTAGCTTATTTGGATCCAAAATCATATATTAATAAAGTCGAAAAGCAAAATTTTAGCTTTAAAAAGGGTACTTTGGCCAATAAACGAGGCCAAGACCGGTTGAATCGCCAAAAAAATGGTGATTCATGAGACA